ACGTTATAGGATCTGAACCACCTCGTTCACAGCGGAAAGATAAAGTACTAACTAAGGCGGACTATCAACGTTTTTTTTTATCTTTCTAATTTATGGGCGGGGCTGAGAATGGGGTGGGAACGGGGTCAGGCCTCGAGGGGGCGTGCACCATTCACTCTCTTACTTAAGTTGCGCACTGGCTTGCAAATAATTAAAGAAGCACCTAAACCCTACCACAAAAATGAAGAAGTTGTAAAACTGAACTGTCATCTCACACCTCCATCCTTCCCAAACCCTTCTTCAATTTCATCTCAGGAACTTCTCATAGGTAAGCTCTGAGGGCGTTTCTTTCAGAAATGTTAACCAGTTTCTACTCGGTGTCACGGCCTGATCAAAAACAAAAATCATGAAATGCATGGAAGATCAACCAACAATGATAACTACGTGAAGGGGTTGGCTCCTTCAAGTTTCGGACACATGTCGGAATTCGGATCTTTTTTCAATCAATGTTTATAGGCCTAAACTCTATCCACAAGGGCTATATTTCCTCAAAGCCTGATTCCCCACTCAGTCACGTTGTGATGAGGGTAAGCCCAATCTTTCGGGGTTTCAAAAAATGTGTATGACCCCTCCCCCATCAAAAGCTATTCAGGTCGCGCCGTTCATGCAAAGCGCGAGATTTCACATCCGGGTACTTTGCGGAAGTATGCAAGTAAAGCTCTTTATAAGTAGCGGCTTCGTTTTACATTAGCTTCATCAAGAGTATTACAATTAGTTTCAGACGTTTATGTTGAGAACAAGTATTGGCTGGTATAAAAGAAATAAATATTGACATAGTGGAAAATGGAACTGCACTGAACGTAAGAGTTTCAACTCGGAGCAGAGACCGAATGATTGTAAAGCCGTATTGAAAGCAATGTCGAGATTTGAAAAACTCCCAACGTGTAACATACATGTACACAACGCTGCAGAAAGCTAGCTGAAGACTTCTCACGGCCGGACAAAGGATCACTAAAGCGGATTAATATAGGTCCGAGTTTAGAGCGGATTTACTGAAATGGAATATTTATGCAAAACATGTTTATTTTCTCTCAATTTGTTAAACCAAATGGCGATTTGTGACAGGTTTGGAACAGTTTGGTAAATGTTTAGGTCAGTTCTTGAATGTGATATCACTCCGCCAATGTACAATGCGTACACACCGTGTTTACGCACGGTACACGCACGGTATATACACGTACGTGCGGTAACCCAATTCCTGTACCAAAGTGTACGGTTCGATCGCATGAATAAAAATCTGGGGTTTGGGACCGAGAAAAGGCCGCGGGTTAGCCCTGTTTCCGGGCCGAAACTTCCACCAAGATGTCCAACGCCGAACTGGAGAAACTGCAGATGCAGCTCAGGAGGGAGATACAGAGCCACCAGGTGAGTTGTGGAAGGCTGAGGTTGCCTTCTTTGCGGAGTTGTTGCTTGTCTTTTTTTCTGGAGTGGGAAAAACAACAGGCGAGTTGAGTGGAGATATGCACCCCTTGTGACAGTGTTAAATGCCCGTACGTGTGCAGTGTGTGGCCATTCGCTACACACGCACACATTGCACCAGCATCATCACCACCAAAAGTGCATCTCCAGGAAGTTTTTTATCATCCCAGTTTTGCCCCATTTTGTCTCCTTCGCTTGCAATCCTCCATCACCCGGAAGTAGGTGATACCTGTACCGTTGGTCTGTTGAGGGGGGTGACTGCATTCGGTTGGGATGGTGGAGAGGGGTAAAAAAAAAGATGGACCTGAGTCAGTGTTTGTGGAATATTTGTCGTGAAAGATGAGGGTCTGACCGCTCGTACGTGTTTCCATTGTCTGTCTTTCTTGTGCGTGCGAAATGAACTTTGTTGTGGTTTAATAGCGAATGTCGTTTGCTCTCTTCTTGCAGATTTTGGTTGCAAAAATGAAGAACGACCCTCAGGTAAGCCTCACATGTCCTTTTTAGTTGTTTATTGTGTGTGGATCTGTAGAAAAGAAAGTTTATTCACTGTGATGAAAACTAAAAAATTCTTGGTCATTGGGGGCCATTTTAAATTTGTATAAACAAATTATTCATTTTCATTTGCACATTTCTTTGTTACATTTGACCTTTACTCATATGGAAAGTTTACCACAGTCTGGTGAAATTTTGTCTGAATTTTGTATTTGGTTTTAGCCAACAAGTTTTACATGTTACATCAAGAAAAATACATGTAGGTACTGTTACATTTTTTATATTTACTTTTTTTTTAGAATGTTGAACTGAAGAAGCAGTTACATGATCAACAAGCCAAGATAACAACTCTGAGTGAAAAACAGGTACCTGTTTTGACCTTTCGTAAATCGTATTCTCTGGTCAATTCTCAAAACATGAAGCCTTACAACCTACATACAGTACATGCATGCACATGAAGAGAGTATTGTAACACAAATACATGTATATCGTGCATGTCCATATGTCACTAAATAAAAACTTGCCATATTTTACTTTCTTTCTTTATGAGCCTAGTGCTTGTTCATGAGAGATAACGTAACTCAGAGTAGCATAATTACACTTGTAGTCCTTCAATAAATTTGAAAAACCAAACTGAGAATTCTAAAATGATATTATTTTCAACATGATAATGTTATTATTTCACCCCACTTATGTTCTTTTTATTGTTGGGGACAATTGCATATATGTTGTTGTAACTTAGCCCAGGAAAGGGGGGGGGGCTACCTCTTTTTCTGTGAAATCAGTTCGCTTGCAACTTATTATATGTCATATAGCTCTTAATCACTTAAATTAGTTTTTTTATGAAGATTTATCGTACACACATTAATGATATCTTACGAATAATCTTACAAAATTAACTGTGACCTAAAATCAAGCCATGCACAAGGGCAGTTTGGCAGTGGATTTTTTTTTTTTAAAATTGAGACACTAAAATATATTTTTCCACTTGATATTTTCTCCAAGATACCAGTGACTGCTTTTGTAGTTTTTATCAAGTTGGCTTCTTAAAAAACCACATTTTCCTCCGTGAATTAATCGGTTTTGTCGTATTGGAAACAGATGGGGCTGTTGAATGATCGTATTGTTTAGCCTTAACAAGCCATTTATTTCCCGTTACCACTTTATTAATAGAATGTGTGCAGTTGCGTCATTTCAATTATTTATTCAGACTAGAATTTCATTAAAAATGTATTCCATACCTTTGAAATGGTAAGGCTCATTAAAAAATATACACACTTGACATTAAAAAGATTTTTTGCACAGTTTTTGATCAGCAACTTTAAACAAATAAAATTTGAAAATGCATCTTTGCCAATGTGCATGGAAAAATACGGTACATCCCAACAGTGAACGTGATACCAAATATTTCACTGTTCATCATGCTTTGGGTGTGCGAGGGTAGTTTAAAGGAGGTTTTGTGGGGACCCTTGTTTTAGAGTGGCATAAACGGAAACTTGTTTTATTTCAGTTTGAGCCCAAGATGGGTTATGTACTGTACTGGGGCCATTTTTACACCAGCTTTATTGAGTGCACCATTGCCAAGTATCTGCAAATGCATTGTCAGTGAATTCCACAGTTCTGTTTCTTGCATAATTTATGAACAACAGTTCAACCCAGTGCCCCGCGCTGCAGTTTTCTATGAATGAGCACGCAGCTTTTTGTAACCTGTTGGCGGATATGGTCTGTGTGCTCTTGAGCATTGCAGGATGCCGCATTGTGCGTGTGGTACAATAGGCCTGCCGCATATTATGAGTAACATACCGTACATACCAGACATGAATTTCAGTTGTGTGCGGCACACGGTGAACTTTGCTGCAGTGCAGACATGTTAGGATTTGAGTACAGAAGAAACTCCATACACATATGTACAAGTACTTAAGCCGATGTGTGTTCAGTTGATCCATGCATACACGCACGCACCACTACATGTACATGTATGTAGCCAATCCTCTGCAGGTATAGTACATGTACATGTGTATGTACACACAATTGAAATTGTATGCCGCATAAGCAGCATGGTGTACAGTTTGTCTGTGAGGTCAAGGTTTTTGTTATCAATGCACAACATTCTTTTTTTGATATTCTCCAACCATTCAATTTTAATATCTGTGGGAAGGTTGTGGTTCTGGCTGTTTTGTTGAATTATCTGTCAATGAAATGGGGTGTATTTCAATTGGCTCAGTTTTGGAGTTGTTGTATAAATTGTGCCCACAACTTGAATTGTTTATTGTTGATGCGGGGTGTAAAAAAATCAGGGAACTGGAAATTGGAGAGAAATCTGTGCTCAGGAATTTTAATAAAATGAACATGTAAAGAGGTCAATTGTAATTACTAGGATACTCAACAAATTTGGGAAGAATACAAAAACACCTGTGATTTGTTTAGGTGCTTGCATTATTAGTTGCTAAATGTGAACGTGGAATTTTGAATTTATATGTAAGCAAGTAAAGCATTCTGTAACGAAAATGTCTCACACTTCAGTGAAGTCAACTTAAATGAGTTCAGTTTCAATTGTAAACTTTCCCTCTGAGGGACAAATACATGTGTATATCGATGTTGATGTGCTCAATAATTTGGTTTTGATTGTGAGAAATACAGTGATTTTTGGCAAACTAAAATATTGACAAAAAAAGGATCTGGGCCTGTTTGTGTCACATGGACCAGATCGTGATCAGTTATCTGTTGTTCGATTCACTGACACCAGAGCCCACCTAATGGATAGCACAAACCTGCCCTGGGAGAGAGTCCTACTGGGAGCACTGATCGTGATCCAGGTTCCATGTGAAACAAACAGGCCCATAGTATAAGGCCAAGAAGAAATTAGTATGTTCATTTCCAAAAGTTACTTTCTTTGTGTCATTAGAAAAAGGTCGTGGAGCAGCTACGATCTGACCTTGGTATACAGAAAGAATCACCGGTGGGGAAGAATGAACAGGTGGGTTATGCAAAGATTCTTGACCCCCCAGGGGATGTGCTTGTCTTCCATTTGAGCAACCTTGCTGAATTCACTTGGATCGAAATATTGGAAAGCATGTAGCTTGTTTGATGCTTCAAAACTTAATGGAAAGACAAGCTTTTGTTCTGGTCCTAGTCACCAAGTCTCCAAATTTTACCCTTGAGAGTATGTCAGGTGAAAGTTGATCAAGTCTAGTCAGTAGAGAAAAATCGAATACATAAAAAGCGCTCAGACTTCACGAGCTTTTGTAATCTGCTCTTGGTTAAGATCGGAGTGGGGAGTTTGAAGCATCTCTTAAGGACTCTGCTGAACTAAATACACTTCATATTTTGGGTCTCTCAGCCGCTCTGACTCATTTTTTATTATGTTGCGCTCGGAATGACCTTGTGACAGAGATTGATTGAAACAAAACCCAAGCTGTCGAAGACCCTTTGGGCAACATATTTAATGCTTTGAATGTGTCAATTTAACGTCCCACGTTGTCACCAGGTGACATCTACGCCCCTCACAACGTCCCAGAACCTCAATATCCCAAACCGGGCAGTGCCCACCTCTACTGCCGCCATCAGTAAGACACCCCCGGGGGCGCAGCGGGGGTCGTCACAGCACCATCATCACCAGCACCAGTCCCCCACCACGCCCACGCGGATGTCTATCCTGACCAACAAGCCCACCACGGTCACCATCAAGGTGCCCAACGTGGCCAGCCGGCTGGCCCAGAGCAAGCACACGCCGGCAGGCCAGCCCCTGCAGAAGGTGAGATGAGATCGGTTATCCTTCAGCAACCTACAAGCATGGGCGTTGATTGCTTCACAAAATGGAGAACAACAAACGAGATTGTAAATATCAGTCAATTGACGAGTACAGCGGCAGAAGATCACAAAGACTACCTCTGTCGTACGTAGTTCATTTGGAAAGTGTAACCTGAGCTGTTCTGACACCTGACCCCTTGGGATTAACTGACGAGTCTCTCAGGATTGGTTTGAGATACAATTTAACTTCTGACGATGCGATTGCTCCTCTGCCAAAAACTTAAGGTCTAGTAGAAAAGTGGTATTTGTTTTGTTACTTGCACCTGCGAGTTACTTGTAGCTTTGGGCAACTCTGTGTTTGGTATAAATAAACTCCTGCACTCAATATGCAACCGACATGTCATGCCTGTCTTCGTGGTTGACACACAGGAGCCCAGTAGTCCCAGTAACCTGTACAAGAAGCTCACCGCCTTGCCGAGACCCTCAGCACCTGGTCATGGTGGTGTTAGGAACAATGCAACCAAGAAGCCCCTGTCCCCTGAGGAACAGGTAAGATTTCTTGTTTTTGCCCTTCAAGCCCTACATTTGCACTTTAGCGTAGGCATAGCTGGACCGTTTAGAGTTCATTTTAGTCGTATTTTATGTAGACGGGTGCTGGATACGATGGACCATTTAGAATTTGGGGGCCGTCCTACTGTACATTTGTTTCAAATGTGCTTTTACAAGTTATACGATATTCCAAGGTTTGTTGCATTGCTCCTTGTTTTTTGTTTGGTTCCTCGCTCTTTGATGAATGCCTCATTTGATGAGCAAACCAACCAATTTTTTTTTCCTTTTGACAGAAACTTGAATTCATGGCTTCGCTGGGGTTGATCACTCAGAAGACTGCGGAACAGCTCAGGTGTAAAAGGTCAGAAAGAAAACGACGGAGCACAGCCAATCCACAGTTCTCCAACTACGACAGACAGGAAATGGAGGTGGGTAATGGGCCTGTGCATACCTGCTAGAGGGCACTGTTTCCGATCATATGAACATTGCCAAGTTCGTCATTGATCCATTAGCCTGTAGTTGTTGATTGTTCTGGCATCAACGAGATTGGATTTTGGAAAAGTTTACTTTCTGTTGTCCCCTTAACCATATGCTGCCGGGGAGCCTGGTTTAAGGCACATAGGCTTTATACACGACATTGTACAAAAGAGCTGGGCCTTGTGACAAAAGACCGTACTTGGAACAAAAGATCGAGCTGCTGGGAATTGCCAACATCTTTTTGAGTTGTCAGTAGAGGAGGAAATCTGTCCTTATTCTGAGAGATTATACCACTATTTGTGGTATTCAGCACGAGCGGATTATCACCGGGGACAAAAGTGCTCCAGCGACTAGCAATACGTACTGCTGCACGCTAATCTGGCCCCTATTGAAAAGACGCCAGCCATGCACTGTGCCAGTTTTGGGAACAAAAGAAAGTTACATAACACTGCACAATCTGGGCTCTTTTTACAAGGCAGCAGGCCTGGCTGAAATACTTGGGCGTCAGTAGATGTTGTCTGTCAGATTTGAGTAGTCACCAGACAGTTACTCTGTGCAGATGTTACCCTATTTGAATTAGGAGGCACAAGAAAATTGGATGGACTTCTGAGAGGTTTTTGACAATCCTTCCCTTTCTTTAATTTTTGGCCAATAATAGAGCCGACAGTCAGCAACACGTTTCCTGGAGGCAAACGGGTTTGGCCAAGAGAAACGGAAAAGAGGTAAGGCATGGATATATGGTTGTGATTTCCTGGTCAATGTGTGGCACAGTGATATGGTAGCTTTGAACATTAATACGTATTCGTTTGTTTTTTTCCCTGCCCAACAGGAAAGTTCCACAAAGGGTCAGAGGGATCAGCAGATAACGCTGAGAACAATCTGAACGGCACACTTCATAAACAGGAGGTTGATGTGAGTAAAGATTTCAATGTTGAGTCGAGCGGTGAAGTTCTTACTGGCTTACTTGGCCCTTCTTAAAACATCCTAACCCTGCCAGATGCAGCAAAGTGCAACAGGTGTACAAGTCTGGTGCACTTGTTGCACTGGGCAGCCAACAGCTGGCGAGCAAACTGTGCATGATGAGATAATGGGAGCTGGTCTCATCGAACAATGCCACTGTTGGAGCTTGTGTTGTCTGGTAACCACGTACTTCCAGGCTGTTTGGCCTTGGGGATAGGGGACCTGTTAGATCTTGTGGCACAGGGCAGGGAAACCACTTTGACAAATCTGGCAGGGTTTCTAGCCAAAATACCCTGCCTTTGTTCAAATAACAGGGCTGTGGCTAGAATAGCACACATGCTTATGGAAGCCACTAGCTGGCGGCTTACTGCCTTTCCCTAGTTTTTCATCCAGCTGTAGCCTGGTAATTCCTACTCAGCCTTATCTAAATACTTTGCTCCTGTTCGAGTTCCTCAAAAAGTTAGAATTCCAGCTTTCTTGTTTTTTTGCAGTATGTAACCGTAATTCTCTTATAATGCTGTATCAGACCTGCCTACCTCCTTCCTGAGGTCAGGCAATAGACCACACAATAGATGAAAAGGTATTTAAATGAGCCCTCAGTTCATTTCAAATTCTCATCTATTACATGGTAATGCCTGACCTCGGGTAGGAGAACGACAGGTTAGCAGGTATGCTGTATCCCTTCCTGGCCCCGTGCATGTTCCCCTTTCCTCCATGTCCTTTCCACATCCTGGCCTCATCCCAGCCCCATTTATTCCCTCCTGTCCGTGTTACCTTTTTTCGCATCTCTAAATTCACATGGCCATCATTTACATGATCTCAACCTCTGTGGCTTTTCGAGGTAGTTTCTCCAAAGTAGACGTGTAAAACGCTCCAGTCTTAACTTTGTCTGCTGAAGCCAAGAGTACAAACCATTCTTGGTGGAAAAACAGTCTCAGTATGCCGGATTTAGAATGGCTTATTCTCATTGAGAGGACATTTACAGTCAAGCCTCAATACAAAGAGCACTGTTAAGACGGGGTTCCTGTTATAACGAGGAAAAGTTTAGATCCCAAGTCCTTGTTTTCCACTCCTGATATCACAAGGTTCCTGTTACAACAAGGTAACGTGTAAAGTCCCAAGGACCTCTTATTAACGAGGTTCAACTGTAGTAGGAACCTGGGCTGAATGTGTTGGTAAGAAATTCTGCTCATATGTACACATGCTTCGTTGAACTGTGCTTATCTGATGATATCTGATTGTATGTTGTGCAAATGTTTGCCTGTTGCTGTAAGCACAGAACTGTGATTATAATAAGCACAGGAGCCATTGCTACCAAAGCCACAGAGTTTGGCCCTGGCATCTTTCATCTCAGATGTGACAGGGACATCCGACTTCACTGAGATGTTGCCTTGAGATACTGCCTTGAGTCTTTCCTCTCCCACCGGCCTGTTAGCTTTTCTCCCGGTTAACATTTCTGACCGCGTACATCACCGTGTGTGCTCTGTGTCATTTACAGAAGCACCAAGACCACTGCTCAGCTTGTGGTCTGGCCACGGACGAGCTCCTCATGTGTGACACCTGCCCCTTGGTGTACCACCTGGGCTGCCTTGACCCCCCTCTCTCTGCCGTTCCCCCCGGCATGTGGAGTTGCCCGCAGTGCAAGGTACACAGACTTGCGTGTATTCAGGTCACCGGCGTGGGTCACTGCGTGAAACGGGGGGGGGGGTGTCTGTCCGGTGTGATGAGGGTGATCGTAATGCGAGTGTACCTGGGTGTAGGAGTGTGTGCTGTGCTGTCATTACTAACTCGCTCACTTCATTCATTGTTTTGATAACCTCCATATTAGCATTTTCTTGAAACCTGGATTTTCTTCCCATGCACACTATCTACACTATATCCAAATATCCACACTATAAGTAAAGTTGAAATGGGCTGGTAGGTTGAAGTAAAGGATGTGCTGGCCGAATTAATTAGCAAGAGGGAAAGGAAAAGGGTGACGTTGTTGCTTGGATGAACCAGCCATGTATAACCGGCGATGGTACACTCTCTCTCCGCGTTGAGAACTACCTACAAGTGCGCACTAAGCAGAAATGCTGAAATTGAAGGCCATTCACAGAACCAGACACAAGTTGGTTTTGTGTACGTCTTGCCTGTCACTGGTGAAACTTGGTATGGCCGCCAGTGTTGTAGTCTAGATCATCACAAGACCAGACACAAGACCAGACACGACCATTCACAAGACCAGACACAAGACCAGACACAAGTAACAGTGTGAGCAGTGACAAAAGAAGGTTTGTGATGCAATAGCTTGTGACTTGAATTCAGACTGGAGGCCTTGTGTTGGTCTTGTGATGGTCTTGAGATGTCTCAGTTACAATACTGATGGTCATTTTACGTCCAGTTGAAAGTCATGTCTTGTAGAGATGCCATCCAAATTTGTATACATTGAGTTGAAAATTGATTAGGCATACTAAAAAGCACCTGCTGTTGTAGTTAGGCCTCAGAGCACCCACTACAGGTTTGTTACAGATTTATCACCGGTTTGTGCACATCGAGTTGAAAATTGGTCAGTACCCTCTTGTACTTGCACGGATGTCACACAGTGCCCTGATACACAGAGCCTGCAATTTCATGGTTAAGGCACAGAGTGATCAAGGTCATATCTGCAAGTCATGTCTGGCTTTGGCTCTGGAAATAGCACATTCCTATGGAAGCCACTGTCTAGCAATTGCAACCATATTCCACAGACTTGTGTAATTTTGCCACAGCCATTCAATTTGGACATTATGGCTTAAGTGCCTGAAATGATGGCATATCTTATTTGCTTTTTTTCAGGGAGTGTGCAGTGATTTACAATAAAGACAGTATTAGTGACTTACAGCAAGTGTACAGTACATTGCATTTCTTAGCACATTTTTTGTCTTGCAAAGGAATTTTATTCATTTCACAAAATGTGAAAGTAATTTCCCACAGTGGGAAAACATCGTCACACAAGTGGAAAACATTTTCACGCCTTTTCGAACAAGTTGAAAAACATTTTCACGCCTCTTCACACAAGTAGAAAAACAATTCAGGATTTTTCACACAAGTGGGAAAATTTTTTCACACCATGTGAAATGTGAATGTGAAAATGAATGCTTTTCATTATGCTTTCCATTTCCATGCAGTGTTAACTTTCAATCTCAACATACTGTATCCGTAGGCTTAGTTATCACAGGTATTTAGAGGTCCTGTTGTTGAAAGGAAGCTCTCGTTCTGTTGGTTCTGTCTTAGTTAAAAGGTTCCCAGTCTGACTGGCATGGTACGCTAGCCATTGTGCACTCCTACGTCCAGCACCGGACCATGAAGGAAGAGGAGAAACGACGGCTGCAGAAGAGAGCGTCAGAACTACAGAATGAGAGAGTACAGCTCGAGGATAAGGCCAGACAACTCAACGATGCAATAGCTGTAAGACCGTGTACATGATGAGGACTGTTATTTGACCGTTAACTTGGAAATTACTTGGGAAATTATTAATTATCAAGTATTCTGCAGTCTTATCCTTGGTGATTGATTTAATTTCACATATTACATTTTATTATCTAATTTAATAATACTAATATATATAAAACACAGCCCCTTGCAAAACAACTACGGTTGAATGGGTTACTGTTTATAAACAAGCCAAAAATAAATTAATTAATACAGTTTACTTGGCTACGGCTTGAAATTACGCACAAATCTATGGGAAAGTAGCCTGAGCCACCACCATAGACTCATGCATAATTTCTGAGCCACAGCCAAGTCATTCTGACAAGCTTAAGTGTTTACAGTACATGTATCTGGAATCCCATTTAAAGCTTGCTCAGGTAAAAACATATTTTTTGGACTTTTTCCCTAATGCCTCAGTGTCTTTGGCGGATTCCTGATACTGTCAGATTTCATTAAAACCAAGTTCCAGTGAAATAGCGTCTGCTGCGTTGTGCTTGCGTTCAGAAAAATTTGTCAGTTTGTGTCAAAGTGTTGTTAATTGGTATGATGGGGTATTTTTCTCTGATTCACAGAAGCAAATGCAAGCCAGAGACTGCCTGACGGAATCCTTCCGGAAGACAGAAAAGGCCATCGTACAACTCCAGGGCTTTATCTCACGCTTCCAAGTTTAACAGTAACCCCCCTTCAGTACTGCAGTGGAATGCTCCTGCACTGAGCTTTTGCTTACCCTCATAATCTACCCTCCCTCTGTACTGCGATGGAATGTCCCTATGCTGCACAGCACCCCATTTGTGGAATCTACCACTGACCATTCCAGGTATATCCTAAAAGGTTAGCTTCAATAACTTCGGCAATATTGTCACAATATTATGCATTTCCCCAAAACAGAAATGAAGGTGCCTGCATTTTGTAATTTTCAACCCTACTGTTGTTTCTTGTGTTGCCTATTATGTTGATCTTATCTGGACTGAACAGCATTTTTGCCACTACCCCCAGAACTGGAATGGAATATTCCTTGAGCATTTGTACTTTAGGAGGCTTATTTCATCGCACCCACAGCTTATTTGTTTCCTATTCAATTTAATTTTCCTGGAGCATTTAGTTTTAGGTGCGTTATGTTATCTTTATCCACTTTTTGCCTTGAACAAATTGATGTGCAAAATACCAATCTGCCAAACGTTGCACATTTTGAGATATTTGACTTAAGATAAAGCATCCCTATTCAATACACACGCCGGTTTTTTGTATGATCAGGCTTGCCACTGGGAGTTGGACAAGAATGAGGAAATTCCAGGCTTTTACAAGACTTTTCAATTTATAACGGCATGAGTGTGCAGTGAAAACTGAGGCAATCAGTGGATTGAGCGGAGGGCAAGTTGCATTCCTGTATAACCCATTTTCTCTTGCATACTTCCCGGCAACAGGAAATCTTTTTGTAATTCCCAATTTCTTTTGGCAGGGGGACACTTCACATATTTTGCCATGGCCCAAAAAACATGAAAAAACCACCTAAGGAAAAAAAACCAAAAAAAAAAAACCAAAACACAAATGTGAAGCTGTAGTGAAAACAACAGTTCGGCCCATACACCTGTACCGTCTAAATAATTATACACCTGACATATTCAGTAAGGAAACATTCAAATTTGCTTTTTTTTTTTTAGTGTCATGATAATATGTTGATGAATAAAAATTGGGTCAATATTTTCTTTTAAAGTGTTATACACACGCTTGCCTTTTGAATTTGTGGTTGGGAGAGAACAAGTTTTTTCCTAACATTCATTCAGCATTTAAGAGCTTTTGCAAAAACAGATGTTTGTCATGTTCATTAATACTTGAGGGCCAGTTTGGCTGCTTTTCCATCAATAAATGAAGGATTAGCTCCATGCATATTTTTAAAAACAGAAAAATAATGAGATAGTGGGCAACCCAAATGTACCTGTTTTGATATTGTATTTTGTGAAATTTCTCCAAATGATTTCCTATGCAAAATTGAGACTTCAGTTCCTTACTGTTTCATTTCAAGCAATATCTTGTTTGCCCTTGCCTTGAAAGGAAAAAAAGGGACCAAAATCTATTGAATACCGAAAAATATACCATATGGTGATAGTGCCAGTATTAACCATGATAAAATATGCCCAAAAAATCAGTAGCATGGTAATGAAAACTCTTACCATGCACATGTCCAAGTACAAGAAGTTTTTTGGCCTCCCTCCACTTTGTCATAATGGAGCCTCGTTCCCAGTCCACAAGAACAGATTGTTTTGAAAATGCCTGTAACTTATTTATTGCTTCATTGAAATTTTCTGAAATGTTTGTTGTATTATAATTTTTATGTGAAGCTGTTTGATCACTTTCTAGTTTTGAATTTAATTTTTAGTCTCACGTTTTTGCCCTCTAGTACATTTGTTTTGTGATTGGTTTTTCTCATTTTTAATAATGAAGCGTTTTTATTGTTCACAGTTTACAGCCAACTAAATTTCAGAAGAATGTTGCGTCAAACTCTCAACCACAGAATCTCACAGAATTCATGCCAACCTGTCAGAGCCATTCCGTATGTTTGAAAGACTATTGCAGACTCCTTTCCAAAGTAAACAGTCACCTTATAAACCCGGGGAATCGGCAATGATTACAAAATCACACAGGTGCATGTACAAACATGCACCTGTTCTGCAGTTGGGAAAGGGGGGGGGCTACACACCTGTTGAACAAGGTGGGGTCAAAATCATGGGGAAATAGGACAAGTTAACAAGATAAACTGTCCTCTCAAGGAGGCGCTGGCCAGGCCGGGGTGCAAACATTAGCATCCAAACCTTTCAGTCTCTTGCACTTCCAATCTTGCCATTTTCTGTTTAGAAAGCTTGTACTTTTACCCCCAGTTAACCTCTCTTCCAAACGATGTGCTCATTATTAACATACATACATGTACATGCCCCTCTCCCATATGCAGCAAGGTATGAGACGGAGAGAACCCCCCCCTCTGCTTTGTGTTGGTCATTGTCTCGTAGGAATCTGGGGCATTCCTTTCAGACATCTTGGGGGGATGTGTTAAGTAACAATAGTCTGGAATGTGTATAGGGATTGGACATGTTGGGGGGGTACCCCTCGGTCTCATTTCTTGCTGGGTATACCCTCTCCAGGGACAGCTTCTGTTGACTGGGTTGCTTCAGCCAGTATCTTTTTTAGTGAGGTGCATGGGTTTAGCGTTGGTGCCTTTCATCAAAGTTCTTGTCACCTTAAGGTCTTTTGGTGGAAATGTGAGGGCATTTAAATCTCAAGCTCTAAGTTTGTTGGGGGCTTTTATTTGTGTTTTGCAAATATTTGTATTTAGTACATAAGGAGATGTGCGAGTGATAAAGAAATATTTTAATTTATTATACAGAGTATTGTTAGGGTGTGGTAATGCCTTATGCGTTCACACTAGTTGGATGCGCAACTTTCAGAAGGTACGGATAGTTGTACAAATGGTGGACAATTTGTATAAAGGATATGTAAATGCAGCAATGACGATTTGGTGTTTTATTTAGAGCAGATTTTATGCGCAGCATCATTCAAAGGCTGAGCAGTTTTTGTTTCTTTGTTTTTTTTTTTTTTTTGCTTTGGTACTTCCGTGATGGAGATCCAAGATTATGGAGAGAGGTGGCCAGTTTACGTCGGATTTTGAAAGTTGCCAGGGGCGGGGTTTTTCCTGCAAATTTTTTGAAATTGCACTCTAGTTATGACACAACCAAGCATGACGCATTAATGTGTCAAACACGGAAATGAAAAAAAAAGTCTTAAACGAGTGTACACGAGTGAACACTTCACGTCCTCAGTGGAACACTTCACGTCCTCAGTGGAACACTTCACGTCCTCAGTGTGTTTACACTTCATCCGGCGTCAACTGGTCATTGGCACCAGTGGCATGTTTTGTGTACAGGATTGAAACTTGAAATATCAAGATTACTGTGAATGAAGGGTTAATATGCCCTAATTGGTTGGCTCTGGCTGACGACACCTGTGTCTATTCAGCAATACAAATGTAGCCACTAGTTGGCAACTTCCATAGATGCATGCATTATTTCTAGCTGCAGACAACCAATTCACACAGGGTTAAATAGTGGTTGAACCCTGGAGACTCGAACCTGGCAAAATCCGGTAAAAACCATGTTAGAGTTTGATGGATTTTGGATGTGCTGGTGATTAGAGCTCGCGGAAGAGTATTTTGACCGGTGCATTTTAGACATAAAAAAAAGCTGGGCAGTTTCCAGTTTTCCATTCTTAAAATACTGTGGGCAGAGGGTTTCATTTTAAGGCCAACGAGATAATCCGTTTTAAAACAGAAAAGATTATTGAAAATTACATTGTACAGGACTTGTAGTTGGCGACAAACCAAAGGTTTAAAGCAAAGATGTTGAAATTTGCAAGATTGTAAAATTGTAGAGCTTGCTGATTGGTGTGGCGGTTGTATTTGGGGAACAAGCTCTGTTGGTTAGCAATTACAAAATGGGATTCCAGAGCGGTTATGAGGTATTTTATCAAAATCAGTCAATTGATAGAGATGCGTCTCAAACACTGCTTGGTTACGTTGAGTGAGTGTGAGAGAACATACTCAATCTGCAGAGAGGAGGTTTGCGTGAGTTGGTGTGGTGCTGATTTTTACAGTAGTAGTAATTGGGACTGATCTGTGACAGTCTTAGTGGTCTGTGATTGTTGCAGTAAGTCTGGGCTGCCACCATCACAGGCCGCATCTTGAATTGTGCGTCTAGGGCTAGGTCTTCCCCAATGCCACACACATGGCACTGTGCTGACAGAAGACACAGCCACTGCGCCAGGAGCAGTCGCCACATTCAGTGATTATGATCTGTGAGGGTGGAGTACGTGTGGTGTAAAGTGGTGAGCAAGTTCATCTTTGATCTGTGACCAAGTTCACACGGCTGATGCGTGGATTTCTTCCTCCTCTCCATTGATTTCTGTCGTAGTTTATGATTAAAACACCTGTAAAAACGAGTTGTGTAAATAAATCTTAGACTGATGAACGAACGGTGCTTGTCTCCACTGTCTGACGGTTTTGTTCCAACTTGAAAACTGACACACATGTTGCCGAAATGGACAGGTCACCAGTCTCGAATAAGCATGTCATTAAATGTTCACGCACAAGTGATCGTTTATTTGTAGAGCTGAAGAAAGCCACAGCTTGTCTGATCTGCATCAGTCAAACTACTTGTTGGATCTACCGATATTTCCATATTTATTTATTTTTTTGAATGAAATTTAAAGTTCGACTACATGTTATTACTCAATTGACAGTCGTCGTGGCGGATTTGCAGCAAGGAAATTCACTTATGGTTCTAGAAGATCTCAAAAGTCAGTATACTTGTATCATAGCATTGCACTGGCCTTAAACAGGCGGGGGAAAAAATCAAGTTGCTTTGAAATTGCTGGCAAAACACTGCCCACTTTTTGTAATAGAAAAAAGTACAAACTGCTACATACGTTGATTTTTATATCAAGACTCTGTTTCTGTAAAGTAATGCAAAATATATAGATAGTTGCTCTTGAAATATAGCTAGCAAACAAGGTGTCTACCATGAAAATATGGCTATCAAGTGTCACAGTGCAACAAGATTAACTTACAAAAAACCTCGGAAAGTTTTGTGTCTGTAGTCTCTAAATTTTGTGCACAATTCATGATCAATGACCCAGTTTAATGGGTATGCAAAAATACTGGAGGTAAAATCCTTTCCTGGACACATGGCACCAAGCCACAGGAAGCAAACTAACTATCAATGTTATATCGTTCCTCAACAGATGTTACAGGAATTACCTCATCCTTCACAGAAAACCTTCCTCCAAGGACGGCATGACGGTCAACTCGCGCCCAAAACTGGATTAACAAAGAAAAGTGACGACAGTGAATTGAAACAAGTAGCTTCGTGCTCGTACAGTGTTTTCAGAAAAAGGATGCTCATAGTTTGAGAGTTGACAAACTAATGATGGCAGGTCTTTGGTTTCAGAAGCTCGTTTAGATAGATTTGGCTGCTGCACTTACGTCTTGAAACCCTCCTTGATCTCATCCAGTTTGGACGGCTGGCAGCAGACAGCGCAACGAGACTTGCCGCTGTCAAAGAGTGGCTGCATGTACCTCTCTCCCACTCGCATCAAGTCCTCCACCGTCACCATGGTGATATGCGACAAAAGATTCCTGGAGGTATCAAGAAATAATTTGGGAGTCTGTCAGGGTGGTTGACTCCATGAGGAACGCGAGAAAGGTGATTGAGACGGAATGAAGGGCGTCTTATCCAAACATGTATTCTGACGAGCAGCTGTATGGTTAGAGAAGCAGGTGCAGGTGGTTGCAGGTGGAAGAGCTGTGTTAATTGGCAAGTTAAAAAAAAAGGAGAAACAGAGCGAGGACATCTAAAAATGAGTGAGGACATCTACAAATGAGCGAGGACATCTAAAAATGAGCGAGGACATCTAAAAATGAAGTTCCACACTACTTCGTATGTAGATTGTGAACTGCCAAATAACCATTTATTGCTGGATGCAGGGGAAAAAACTACAGCAAAATATCTTGCTTATGGACACCAACTACAATCATCCCAATGCTGGATTTCAACAAGGGGGCCTCAGGTTCAAACCTAGTATGTTCTCTATAAAATGCTGGGAAGAAAACTAACACAGCTCAACAAAAATGTTTCGTGGAGCAGTCAATCTTCACCAATCTTTGCCTGACCTGTTGTAGTTCTGGTCTGTTTCCCTGAAGTAGCTTAGCAAAGACTCGTGCGAAGTGGAGGCCACTGTCTCCTCTCTCTCTATCACTTCGTACAGGACGCTGCTGATGGCTGTCTCTAGCTGGACGGGGTCAAAGGTCGTTTGGCCACTCAAGTAACCCTCCTGCAATAGGGATGAGCACCCAGGGGCTGATTTGGATTTCATGGAGATGCAAATAACTGCTAAGCATGGTGCACTTGGCTTAGCAGAGGCAGGTTACCAGTCAAGTAGCGGTTTGATGTGCATAACTTGTAACTGGTGCCCAGCTGATTACTGTTAACACCTAAACTTGATAAGCAACTTGTCTATTCAAATATTAGCTACACAATATGCTCCGAGCGGAAAAAAAAAGGGCCTGCTTTCTGTTTCTCAGGCATTGGCGCGCCATTAGGTGCGCAAGTAATATACGCATTAGACGCAGAGCACACTGAGTACGCGTAACTAATGTATTCCAGCATGTATGGTCTTTGCGTACACACAGAATGCATGCAAGAACCCGCTTGTAAACACCTGTCTTACTTTTCACCGATTGGGGGTGCACTTCAGCTCGGGGCAGATAAAAATTGGACAGTGGACTCCAACAAGGTAATTTATGTGACCTCGTAACCAATTAATTTTTTTAGGGGGGGAACATGAATCTCCTGATGGCTGCTGCTGCAGTCGTAATTATCTCATGTGCAATGACAACAACAGGCACCCGTAAGATAATGAAGGTTGTGGAGTTACTTACAACAATCTCCAAAGCTTGCTTGTAGGCGTTGACCACGTGGGTGCACTTGAAGAGCTGGAAGTACAGCAGGCCTTCCTCTGGACGGCAGTACATGCGATAGTGGTAGGCCAAGCCCAGACCACGGATCTGCTTCCACATCGGACCCTGACGGGAAAACGGAGTTAAAACGGGAATAAGTTCCACGCAGGACTCCACAAAACGGAGTCAAAACGATACTTCTTATATGGTACCCTACCAGTGACAAGAGGAAATCGTTTATTCAGAGGACTTAGCGAGGAGTCGTCGAAATGGAATCAATTTAATGTGGTAACTAGAGGCAGTATGCCCGGCAAAGAGCAAGTCAACTTCAGAGGTTGAAGATTTAGGCCGTTGAAATATTTCAGGTTTACAACTTTCTTTACATTGTAATTTGGACACCTGTTCTGTCCAGTTTGGAACTTCCTGCACTGCTCCAAACCCACGCAGTGATCTATGGTTTTCGAAACTCACCAATGGTCACGTTGCTACTGCCAGAATGAACACTCCCGACCAACATGGTAGCATTCAGTCTTCGAAGGGTAGCTTCTGCTCAAAGCCAATATACTGCCATCCACATTGGCTTCCACCCTCCATACGCAAAGCATTTATCACACCTACCTCGAGAGCACACAGGCACTCCATGTACACCATGAGGGCAGGGAGGTCCGGATCGCTGAAACTGCTGACACAAGGCACTGTCTGGATCAGAAAGGCAGATTCCACTGAGCCCACGCCCACAATGGTACCCAGAGGGGCATCGGAGGAGGCTGGGCACAGGAGCTGGCTGGCAAACTTGCCCAACTTGTCACTGTGCGGTAGCCAAACAAAACGCCATAAAAAGATGGATCAAGTCAGGTACATACATGTGCATGCAAACTACAAAAGAAATTGACAGTAAATTTATGGCAAATCATAATGAAAAACCAAAATACCGCCTAGTGACATAATGAGGGAACTTGAATACATATTAAAGTTGGCTGGCAAACTTCAAAGACTCATCTGCCTTCAACAAGCAAGTCCTTCCGCAACTCCTTTGGCATTGAGCAGATGAGACAACCGCCACACTTTTCATGTCTGCTCCTACCAATGCATACCATTTGCTTTGGGCCTTGATGTTCTTCCCGACAAAGTGTTGTTGCCATGGCAACTGAACATCCCCGGCTTCCTTCAGTTTCTTCATGTCGGCGGCCATGTGGATGCGGAGGTTGTCGGGCGAGGTCAAGACCTCACGCAGACTCTTCATGTCCTCGATGACCTAAGACGACAGAAATCAGCATATAAACTTTCAGTGTGACTCCGTCACCTCATGTCCTCAGATGTCCCACTGTGACGATTTCTCTTTCAATCACAATGTTCATGAGTGCTACCACGCTATTTCTACAGGTAGTAAACTACTAAACACAATGAGTGTATCGTTTCATTGCGATAAGAAAGATCACCTACCGACACAGGATCCTTGTCCAGTGTTTCCACCACACTGGAAAGGAATTTCTGCTGCCGCATCATGCTAGTAACATGGAAATTACTCTCTGTAAAGAAAGGAAGGAAACCACTTCTGCCTGTTAGAGGGTTCCTAGAATCTGGGCGAAGCAATATTTTCATGTTTCATAACATTCAGCTGAGACTGCACGTATATATGTGAGATCGGAGGCAACGGCAGAGATTCCATGATGCCTCTCAAAACTCTCTTACCTTTGACGTAATTCAGTTCCCTAAGGGCTGCCACGGCAACAGTCCGGCCGTCTCGTTTTAGTCGAGCGACGTCATTGGTCATCTTGTTGGCCACAATCTTCAGCCGATCGGCCACAAATTGCGTCTGGTACAGCAATTCCTGAAGCCACTGCACCCCCTTAGTGTATTTTTCCACCTCGACCTGCGATCCAATCAGAGAGACAAGTTATAGTTCTTAACGACTTGCCTCTGGGATGCAGGTACCGGAGATATTGGCTTTATATGCTTGGCTGCGGTGCCCGAAATTGGCCTTGTAACAAAAGACCCTACTCGGAACAAAAGACCAGGCTGCTGGGATTTGCCATCATTTTGCTGTTGACATTAGTGGAGGTAATCTGTCTCTTGTTTTGCCAGTGGATAATCAGCGGGACAAAAGTGCTCCAGCGCTCTGGGGATGAGCGATACAGTACTGCTGCACGCTAATACGGCCGCATTTCAAAAGACACCACTGGCATCCAGCAATGCACTGGGCCAATTTTGGGAACACAGGAAATTACTCAACACCGCACAATCTCAGCTCTCTTAACTAGGCGGCAGGCCTGGCTGAAATACTCGGGCATCAATGGAAGTTGCCTGTCAGATTAGAGTCTCCACCAGACAGTCACTCTTGTGGGTGTAAACATCTGGTAAATGAAGTTATGAATTTTGAAGGATTTTGAAAACAGAAAATATTGAAAATCCCCTGGGAACTCATCCTGCACACGCAGATTCCACCCGGCAGGAACTGGTTAAGCCAGTTGAGACACACTGAATAATAGCTATGACACATGACGAATCCCAATAAACTTTATGCAGTTGGAAAAATAGATTTCAAAGAACTCTCAGGAGATCACACAGGCTTGTATGTTATTTCCAAGCACAGCCAAATCATTCAGACACTGTCTTACCTTAACTTCAATGAGAGCCAACTGTGAGAACTGTCCACAGCGGAATCTGGCACCCTTGAAGCCTAGACTTGACTCAGTGGAGAGGGTGTCAGCGGCTAACTGTGTTACGACATCCTCATAAGGTATCAGCACTACAGTCAAAACAAAGTGAACACACGACTTACTCACTGTTTAACAAGCCATACAATAAGTGGCCATGCACATGTGAGAAATACATATCGCGGGGTAGAAAGTCATTTGTACATTTGTAACTGTTGTTTGCCACACTGTTTCTAAAATGAAATGTGGCCTTTTTAATCAAAAGCATACATGGTTGATATGAAATACATCACTCTACATTTTCCATGATGTTTTCGACAACCTGCTTCAAAACATTGCATGGGCTCCTACCTCCATCCCGCATTACTGGTGACTCAAAGATGATTTCCATGAACAGTGGTAGATAGGGCTTCAGGTCGGCAGGAACAGAAGAGGTGTCCAGCAAAACGGAGAACTAAAATGAAAACAGAAAGGGAAATCCATCCAAAACATTTCTACCCCTGACGTTTACCGACCAACAGCATCTATGAAATAAATTTCTTCAGATTTAATTTTGTTCTTGGTAATATTAAAAAATTTTAATTGGAAACAGTCAACTGATCTCAAAGTCTTAGTTTGAAGTTGAAATCAAACTGACTTACTAGCACAAAGTTGGTGTGGACGTCATCCAGCTGAAACGTGAAAGGGATCTGCTTCAGGTCCATCACCTCTGCTCCACCAGCCTCCTGGTTGCCAAGGAGGTTGCTATGACGATTGATTGGATGGAAATGGATGGAATCAGTGCCAGGAACCGGGAAGGAGCTGATCATGTTCACCGGAGGCTCCGTCTGCAGAGTAAGAAAACGAAAAGAAAAGATGGCAAACGAGTCACTTCTTCAACTGTTACTTTCTGCAGTAACCCTACTATCTGTAAGTTGTTAGCAATTCTGATTTCAGCTGATGTTGGTTGCAGAGTACAGGATTTTTACACTCTGCAAGTGTCGGTTTGGTGCGCATGCGCAGTGAAATGAATTTTCATCGATGCATTTGACCCACTATGCTCAAAATATGCATCAGTAGGTTCTCTACCTGTCCTGAGAGGCATTGCGCATCTGCGCATGTCCTGTTCTTCAACAACACATTTGAACTCACGTTGGACTTGACTTCCAAAGTATCGAGGTAAAGTGTCAAAAGTAAGATGACATAATCATAGGGACAGTAAACGCCACTTAGAGAAGTAATCAGACGTGATATCCACAGATGTATAATGCTCGTCTAATGCGCGAACCTTTTCAGGGAGATTTTGGAGTTTCAACAACTGAATAAATAGTGCTCCAATCATCAGTGGAATCTTCCTGTCTGTTTGTGAAATTGTTGACCAGCCCGATCAACTTTGTCCAAGTGTTAGCAGTGGCTGGCATGAATGCGCACGCCTATTGGAAGTGGCTGCAACATGTCTAGCTGCCTTAGGCTACCTCGTTGTCTTCTGTCGCCTTCAGGACGACATCCGCCGCCTTCTTCAGCCCCGCCTCCCCCAGCTCCTCTTGTTGCTTAGCAATGCGCTGTTTTTCCTCCTCCATCATGGATTCGGCTAGTTTCTGGCTGGGCTCTCCCAGAATCTGGAGAAACAGGAAGACAAAAACATACAGACTGTCTGAAGACTTTGTTGACTCGAGTTTTGAAGAAAATCACAATGAAACTAAGACTGGATCTTTTTTTCTTGCTTAGCAGGATACTGGCCGAGAACCAGTCTTATGCACAGTAGCATATGAGAAACATTTGGCCAGCGACTACTTTTTTTTTACCGTGACAGATTTAGCCGAGATGAAGTAGCGTTTCAGAAGTTCCTTCCAGAAGCTGTCTGATTCCTTGACTTGTTTCTTGTAGTTCTCAACTTGATTCAAGCGCTGCTCCAGCTTCAACAGATGAAACATTATTCATGGTTACTGCAAGGTAAAGCTACTAAAATGACGAGTACATTACACCCTTGAAAATTTATGAATGAGACGTATAAGTAATTGATATCTCAATTCTCCACTGCTGCATTTGTAACTGGGCCTGATTCTCAATTGGTACCTCATCCATGGTGTCGCAGTAGAGGAAGTCCCCAATGCCCATGAAGGCGAAGGTGTCATGAGGTCTCTCCTCCATGTGGTTGAGGCATTCCAAGATGCGGCGATGCAGAACGCTAGCCATTCGCTCCATGTCCACGGCCTCTTTACCCGATGCCATGCCCTCCAGGGTGGCAAAAAGTCTGTCGAAATGGGGAGAAGATTCTAAAATGTTGTCACAGCTTTCCACTTCTTATTTCTAAGTTAGCATTTAGTTCAGGTTTATTTTTGCATCCCCCAAGAAGCAATAGTCTCCTCTCGAGCAAAGAATGTGAATTGAGGATGGTAATTTCTCTTTGAAGACGAAACACTCCATAAAATATTACATCCCAGCATCCTAGTAACGATCAGGTCAAAGTTAAACCTGAATCCAAGTTATCATGCTGGTTGTAGTCAAACCACTGTCTTAATAGTTGGACTGAGGATATGTGCCCATCTGTACCTGACGAGCACACCCAGCTCTGTCAATTTCATTCAGCCGTTTTTTAATTTCCATAGTTCACTTTTTCTTCTTCCAGAATTTAGCTTTAGACATTTCTGAGGATATTTCCTGAAGTGAGGTGGTAATTACCTGTCCTTGATGTCTGACAGTTTGTCTTTAGGAACGTTGTCAAACTTGATGTACACACAAGATTCAGATGCTTCGATGACGGAGTACCGAACCTAGGAAAAAATCAAAGAATGATTAGCTTCGGTCATGAAAGCCTCGTAATTCAGCATTCATTTTAGTCCACACACAACTGGAAATTGCCTTGTCTTTCACAAAATGTGTCGTTATAAATCTCACACATACTGAGCCAGTTTAGTGGGAAGTAAAGGACCCTTGGACTTGCAATAAAACGGTGAAAGGTTTGAAACCAACTATGTGGCATGCTGCACATTAAAGCAGGGCACTTCACACCACCCTGCCCGTTACCTGGTTACCCAGAGATATAGATATCTTCTGGAGGTATGGGCATAAGCATAGGGTTACCCTTGGAGAACTAGCGCAATCATGTGAGGAAGGGTGGAAACACTTGAAGCTGTTTCTTGACAAGGGCATTGGAGGTAATCCTCAGCTTAACTGGCTGACAGCGTTGTATTTGAGTCCATCACAAGTCCCTTTAAGACTGAATGACTTGTGATTGACTTAAGCCAATTGACAAGCCAATTGACATCCTAATTCAAAGGAGCTGTGACAGAGACATTCTTCTGTCATTGTTTACCCTGTTACTTATGACCAGCCTTGAGGAGGGACTTGTGACTGGCCTTGTGCAGGGGCTTGTGAATGGCCTTGTGCAGGGACCAGTGACTGGCCTTGTGGAGGGACTTGTGACTGGCCTTGTGAAAGGACTTGTGACTGGCCTTGTGCAGGGACCAGTGACTGGCCTTGTGCAGGGGCTTGTGACTGGCCCTGTGAAGGGACTTGGGATGGACTCGAATACAACACTGCTGGCTGACTGCCTACCTTGCTGCAGAAAGGATTTTTAATCTCTACAAAGTCCCGCTGCAGGGGCGCAACTGAGGTGTCAGTCAAGTATTCCATCAGCACCTGTAAAGCAGCCATGGCGTACAGGTCCTGTGCAATCACACAAAAGGTAGTCACACAGTCTTAGATGGGTTAGTGTCTTAAAGGGTATCTCAACATGCAAAACTCAGGTTCTTCTGCAATGGTCCAAAACATCTCGAGTTCTACAGCCTCTCTCTGACTTCCCTGGTAGTTTGCAACTCTGCACCTGAACCAGACACAAGAAATTCTGCTATGACAGGGTACCGACCGAATGTGACTCTAGTAAGGGGACACTTGCCTTGGCTTTTGGTGCCCGCCACGCCATATACACCATACCGTTGGCTTCATCATCTGACGGGAAAGGCATAGTCTGAACGACGCTCTCCGTCAGAGGTGGAACTGGGGTCTGCCAGGGGCGCACATAGGGGGACAACGCACCCTGTGAGAGGGAAAAATATATACAGATTCAATTGTACCTCATTTTGGAAGGTTTCACACACATCTGGCGAGTTGATTTTTTTTCCGATGAAATACTGAAGAGATTTTTTTTTCTTCTGACCTTGGCCATGATTTTCTCCTCGAACGGCTCAAGTGCTTTGAACACCTCCTCTGGTGTGACCTGGCCAGTGATGATGAGACACAGATTGTCTGGCCGGTAGAAGTCTTTGTGGTACTGCCTCACCTTGGCGTTGGAGGTGCTGGTCCTCAAGTTGCTCATGATGCCTCCAGTCTCAGACTGGAGAGGGAGAAGAACACAGATGGATCTTAACCTGATACTGCAGTGGCCGCTATTTATGGCCTTTGGTAGCCAAAGTGGATAGTGTCCATGGCCTTGAGTTCATTCAGTCTGCAGTCACAGAGGCCACTGTTTGCTGCCTTCAGTAGCCAAAGGCTACACCACAAGGCCTTGTCTTCACTCACCTTGAAGCCACACTGGCTAATGCTCATGGGCTTTGGTGACCAGTATCCATGACCTTTGGCAGCCACAGTGGCCAGTGTCATGGCCTTTGGCAGCCACAGTGGCCAGTGTTCATGGCCTTTGGCAGCCACAGTGGCCAGTGTTTATGGCCTTTGGCAGCCACAGTGGCCAGTGTCATGGCCTTTGGCAGCCACAGTGGCCAGTGTCATGGCCTTTGGCAGCCACAGTGGCCAGTGTTCATGGCCTTTGGCAGCCACAGTGGCAAATGTCATGGCCTTTGGCAGCCACAGTGGCCAGTGTTCATGGCCTTTGGTAGCCACAGTGGCCAGTGTCATGGCCTTTGGCAGCCACAGTGGCCAGTGTTCATGGCCTTGGGCAGCCACAGTGGCTGGTGCCCACAATGGTATCTTCACTCACCTTATAGCCACAGTGGCCAGGGTACATGGCTCTCAGCATGGCCAGATGTGAGCGACTTTCTCCACTGTTTTCCCTAGCCTGCATCTCGCAATACACAACACCTGCATCTTCGCCCTCTCCATTGACATGATGTACCTCCGTCACATAACCAGCATCCTGCAACACCATGGGGAAAAACCCAAACTCAAGGAGTCATCTCATTCATCAAATTGGAAATTCTGGCTGGCCCTTCATCAACATAATTTAAATAATGGAATGGAAAATCCAAAGACAGTAACACTGGATGGAGTTTTACAGAATTACTATGCTGCCAAAGAACAAATCACAGCTTCAACAATACACAGTTCCAGTTATAAACGTCTCTTTCCTGGTTAGGACCTTCCTTCTGATAGCAACTGTGAAGCCAAGGAATCCTCTAATAATGGCTCGCTAAAACCAGTAAAATGTAACAGCGTCTTTGACTTTGAGAAGAGTGTTTCTACCCAGAATTTCTTCTCACTCTAAAAAGGCAAAAATTGGAATGGCATAGAATCTGTAACAGTTAAATTGGTTAATTGGCGATTTGGTTGCTGTAGGATGTGGTTGAAATAAATAGAAATAAATAAATAAATTTGTGATGAAGAACAACGTAGGGCCTTTTATATAAACACAGTCCCATGTTGAATGTTCTTTTTTCTGTTGGGCTATGTATTGTGGCGAAAAATTGAGTCCAAACTAACAGTGAGTGTTGGGTAGAGAACATGGTCCAAGTAGATTGGCAGTAAGTTGAGAAACCCCTGGCTCCCCGCTGTCATGACAGTGTAGCAAGTGTGGTCGGTGTCCGTCCAGGCATTGGTACCCTGAGCAAGGCACCGGTTAGCGAGCATGTCCAATACACCCTACAGAGGAGAAAACAGGAGATGTTCACTCAGCACTGGCATACATTTGGTATACATTTCCTAATCTGACTGAATTCTACTTAGAACTGCCCCTCAATATAAACAAACAAAAACAGCCAAAAGCTAGACCAAAAGCTGAGCGCGCAGAAAACATGATTTACGTGTACAGGCTCTTCATTTAGTCTGTATACACAGCCAGAAGGAATCAAATTTTGCTGCTAAATTAAACACAAAAGGAGAAATAAAAAATGCAGGTAGGAAAAGGAGTTACCAGGGATATTTTTTTTTACTCTGCCTTAACTCTCCCAAGTGGTAGTTTCCTCAATGGCTCAAGCATGTTTACAACAGCAACTTCGTGCCACCAGTAGGGCCTACCTTGTATGGATATTTCTCGCTTCCAAGGAAAATGAGATGCTCCAGTGTGTGGGGCAAACCATCATCATCATGTGCCTCCGTAGCTGGGAAATATACCAAAGTCAAACCATTTGTTGTGCATCTCATGTCTGTTTACTATAAATGAATTCTCATAAATAATCATATATAATCCTAGGCCTAAGTAATATTGATATACATGTATACTTTCCCGGTTTTTCAGTCACAAAAATCTTACCTAGACAGAAGAATCCATTCACTAGCGGTCCCTCAACTTGTGCAATGAATACCTGCAACCCTGTGCGGGTGGATCTGTACTTGTTTACGGGCACAACTCCGTTGGAAATAACCGAACACGTCTTCTCGAAGTGGGCTGCCATCTTGTTAGGAGGAAATAGGTGGTAGTGCAGTGCTGCTAGCCCAAAAAAGCCCAATAATCTGCAGAGTAAACACACGGTGTCGGTCCGTTTTGCGCCTAAAAGAGTCACAGAAGGCGCGTAAGTTGACTCGCTACCTTTGCGAGCGCCCTCATGGGTTGAGCCAATAAGCCTAAACTTTCTGATACGGTGTTCACTGAACCGAAAACAGGACAATTTGTTTCAGATAAAAGATAACAATAAAAATTAAGTTAATTTATTAATTGTCTGGTTAATCTCCCAACATTGCCTAATATACACCTCCAGTTAAGTCGATTCCTGAAGAAATCAAACTTCCTGTTAGATTTTTTTCGAGCGAAAAAAGCACCATTTAAGTTAACCAGAACACCGACACCTCTAAAATAGGATAATTGACCGTTCTTAACCAAATTAAAGTCAGTGCTGGTTTTTGCCAATCAACACTGTCAGCTTGTCGAAACTGATCCTTTTTTGTTCTGAGACTTCAAATTTCCTATTATGCTCTAGCCATTTACTTTTGTTCCTTGTTTTTTTTCACAGCTCTGCTTATTTCTTGCGTTAAAATGGGTTGGATTGAACAATGGCATGACATCATTATTGGTCAAGAGATGATCAACACGACGCGAAAAGTATCTTCAATAATTAAATCTTCCAAAGTAAATTTTTCCGCCCTTGGATAAGCCCTTGTCCGAAAAGGCCTCACGTTGCTAGGGCGACTGCAAGGGTACCGTCCGTTTTACATTATTCTTATTGCATTAATGGGTGCCCCCGAATTAAACTTGTCTGCAGAAATAAGATACCTCAGCTATTTTACATAGGAGAAAAAGACAAAAGAGATATACCGGTAGGCCTACGTAAAGATTGCAAAGGTTAACTACGTTTTGCTGTTTTGACTGCCACTTTATGAATAAAGACAACAGAGGGCGCTTGAATTAACCGGTAGCTGTTAAGCTTGTCAAGCTGGACCATAATTTCAAGAAATTGTTCTGGTTTCATTTAGTAGTTTCAGTCTTGGTTTTGGCTTTCATGATTTAACTGTCGTTCTTGGAAGAGAACATTTACGCCACCAAGAAAATGACTTTCACTTATGTTAATTTGTTTTGGAGAATTCATTAACATTTTCAATGTAGACGTTCATATTATTTGCAGATTTGCCGAGAACAATTCGAGGAATTCAACATGGCGGCCCCTACACGGTATCCACGAAAAATGACACTCGGCATTGTTATCTTGGAAATCTAACCGTACACTTTCCGTTTGTCACCAGTCTGCCAATATGCCTCATTGTAACCGAAAGTGCTGATGTTTTGAGTTGGACAAGAATTTCCCATCACTGTGTCTTCCATGAAGAACGGGCAAACAGGCCTGGGCCTCGACCTATTCCTTGAACTGTTCGAGTGGTTATCACAGGCAACACAAGTTACCGTGCGTGTGGGTCATGCGGTGCGGGGTGTTGTGAAGCTTTGGCCGGGTTGGTCGTGGCGCATAGCGGTGGCTGAACAAAAAACCATTGTTAGCGGTATTGTGTTTACCCATTGTTTGCCAAACAAAGCTGTTGAAAAGGCACATGTTTGAGACAGGTGCAGTAACAGCCGTCCACTTGGAAGCAGGAAATTGCTTGCATCGATAAGCAGATAGGCCTAGGTGAAAAAGGCACATGGTGTTCGGTAAGTCATTTCTCCCTTTTTTTTTGTTGTTGTTAAGTTCGGCAGCTTGTTGTGTTTGGATATTGACCGTCAGATTTTAAGAGATCTGTGTGGACTGTTTTGGTTTATCTTAAGGTCAGTGTCTGAATGAAGTACTAAAAACTTGTTTGATGTCTGTTTTAGTTCCTAGTAATCATGTTAATCAGTCGTGTGTATTGTCAGATTGTGTCCAGGGATTTGTCTTTCGAGTGTGTTTTCAGTTGGTGATGACAAATTTGTTGAATTGATTGTTGGCCATAACAATTGACGTGTACATACATGTTATTGGAAGCTTTTATTTTGCTCAGAGCTAAAATTTATGTTGTAAAACGGTGTTAATGCACTAGTCGTATTCTTTTAACACTATTGACTATATTTTTCGCATAAAATTTCCACAGCATTTTTGTGAGCACTGAAAAAGCATAGCAACACTTTTCAATTGTTTCTGGCGTTATGTGCATGTACATGTAGCTGTTTTCGATGCTTCTTATTTTTTTTATCGAGTTTTAAATATTTGGTCAGTAAAATTTAATCTGCTGTAATTTGCTGTACATGTACACGTTTTCTTCTAACACGCCCCCAGTTCTCTACATTGACCTCAATTATTTTTGCGCATTTTGGTGTAAAAAAGTTGCAATTAAGTTTGACACTTGGTTAGGGTGGGTTTAGGGCTGGGTTGAGAAAATGGTAAGGGTGATTGCAGAATACCCTGCCACTCTAAAAAACAGCCCCTGGAATGACTGGTTACAACAAGGTGAAAAAGCCTTGAGAAGATTGTGATACTTTGACCTGTAGTGTACCTGGCTATAAGGTTGATCATGTGGGGTTGCGGGTACTCTGCAAATGTTGTTTGAGGAGGTGGAAGGTTTATACTATTGGAGGCTTTGGACCAGTGGAATACTGCGTCGTTGATGCATTTGTAATGAAGTTTGTACCACAGCACTACCACGTACGTGTAGACAACCTCTTGGTCAAATTTCATACAATTATGGCGTAATGTGACCTTTGCCAAAAACATTAATTGCAGAGTGTGGCAAGTGCGATTTTGACACTGACAGAAATGTCAGAAGTAAAGGAAAGGAAAATTTAAGCACCGAGAGTGCTGAGGTGAACATACATGTATTCTTCCCCCTGCACACAGCCTCTCCAATAATTGATCCCAAGGAGAGCTTTTGGCAATTTATCGAGCAAGAAATGAGACCAAGGGGTGCCCCCCCCAACATGTCCAATCACTATACACACTCTTGACTACTGTTAACACATCCCCCTTAGATGTCTGAAAAGAATTCCTCACATTCCAGAGAGACAATGACCAACACAAAGCAGGGGGGAAGGGCTCTGTCTCTCTCATATCTTGCTTGGCATGTATGGCACCATTGTACATTACATCGTCTGACTTTTTTTTCTCTCTGAAGAGAATCTATCAAGCCAGTGACATCAGTGTTTGCATTCTCAAACACTTGGTTCCGTTACGAATTTGTATGTACTGTATATTCTGTAATAGTCAAGGATTGATGAGTTATAGAGGCATTTCCTGTGCCCTTGATGAACCTGTCTGTGAAATTAATGGTTAATTATTATCTTTGATGGATTTCTCAGCCTGATCAATAAAGCTGTTCCAATCCTATATTTCCTCCCAAAACAGCAAGTAGCAGGGCTCAGGCTACATGTACGTACATGTACATTAGTATCCCTGTGTATTTCGCATGGTGCACTGACCACGTGCACTTAATTAATAGGCAGACTGCCCCTGTGTACAGGAAGTTGTTGATACTGATCCTAATTTCTGAAATATTTCCCACCAACCTCATATCTGTTTCAGCCTTGGAGCAGGATTTGAGATTTTTAGAGGATTAAATGCAAATTTGGGATACCGTATTTTTGTGCCAATTAAATTGATTCCAGCTTGATTATCTCTATTTCACAGGTGGTTATCGTATTAAGAAAAGACAACCTTACCTGTGACAGTCCCAAATCCTCTGATTTCAATATGATTTTTACATACTCTTGGGGGTCAGGGTTAAATGCTGTTCATATTTTAATAAAACGTTCACTTTCTCTGTCAACACGCCTTTTATTTAACTCCAGAATCAGCCTTTTTATCCTCCGTGGTAAAAACACACGGTCTTGTCACGTTATTAAAAAATGTATGTGGAAGGGAGAAAAAAGAACCTTGTATTTTATTACCCAGGCAAAGTCAGGTTTTCCCCAGTCTTCTTAAGTCAGACAGAATGCAAATTTGTACTAGGCGTATGTATGGATCCAAGCTGTCCAGATTGTGCATTGTGTGCTTGCCCGGGCACTAGTCAAACAATAGATCTCTGATGGGCTCAGCAGATGGTTGTCATGGACGCATTGAGTGGCTGCTATTGTTCAGGCATTTCCTCCCCTCCCAGGGGAAACTCATAAGCTCAAAGGAAGACAGGTGCCTCCCCATTGTGCCATCCCAAGCTGAAATGCAAGCAAACAGACAGGAGGTATGAACCTATTGTCCCTGAGAGAGCTGGGCCATTGTTCTGTGCACAATGGCTTTGATTTAGGTTTTGCTAATTTTTTTTTGGTCATTGGAGTGGACCGGTCCATTCCCAGTAAGTAGGGATGGAGTGATACATGTACATGTTTGTGCTGGTATTGAAAACAAGGTAGGGTGAAAATTATTGCAAACGTGCCATGTCTAAAATTTTCCCTCATTTTGAAAAATGTGTTCGTTGCCTAGGAAAATCTTTCTTTCACAAGTAACTTTCTTTATTGAACAGTTCTGCTTAGAACCATGTCCAGGTTGGTGGTCTTTGTTGATGAAGTCTGGAGGGTGGTAACATTTACAGTACTCATT